CTGCTGGAAACTTTCAGCGTGCGGTCGATGTACTCCTTGGCCTTGTCACGGTGGCCCACGAGCCAGAGGAAGAGGCCGGCATAGTACAGGGCAGTTCCACCGGCCGTCTTGCGGATTTCCTTCAGGCTGTTCTCGAGCTCCTGAACGGCTTCTCGGTCTGTGAATCCGAGAGGAGGGAGAGGGCAAGGCAGAGTGAGCAGGGCGGCCTGGCCCCGCAGGAGGCACTGAGGGCTCGGGGACCTCTCTGGTCGCTGTGAGCCTCCTCTAACACGCAGGAGACTCCAAGGAGCCCAGGCGCTGGAAACCCCAGGAGCCGCCCACGCCTGCACTTGGCTTTGCTGGCTGAGATTTATCTTTTCTCCTCTGTGCCTGGCAGCTTGCTGAGCAGACAGACCAAACCGAATCGCCTACCTCAGGCCCACAGTCCATCCTGGGAGGGGACATCGTGGTTCGTAGCGTCTTGGAATCTTTCCCTGCCTCTAGAGAGGTGGACATTAGGGGTGGGACTATTTACACCAACTCGATTCGCCCTCATCAAGATCTTGGCGAAGGAAAGAGGGTGTCTTCCCAACTTTTGGGAGCTGGAAGGAGGACCCCTCCCGCTGTCACCCTCTCTGTGCATGGCTCCCACTCAGTCGGGCCTGGGCACGGGTCTTCCCTGAGGCCCCTGGGGGAGGGAATGGAAGCCCCTCCTCACTGGCCAACAGCATGTGCTGTCATCGGGGTACGTATCTCCTGCGGCGGCCCTTGGGGGCTGCATCTCTGGAGCGGGGCGGTCTCTGCCCCGCTGGGCACGGCCGCACTCACCGACAGCTGCACAGCACTTGTGAGCATAAATGAGGGCCATGATGGAGCAGAGGGACACGTCTGGGTGGTTCCGGATGCTCTCCAGGTTGCTGATGGCATCCTGGATGCGCTCTGCAAAGAAGAGCCCACGTGGTTACGTTCTGGGGCTCCAGGCCCAGAGGGCAGGACGCTCTGCGGCAGACACGTGGGAACCCGTTGCGGAGCTGACCCAAGACTTGGCACCACCTGGCTCCAGCCAGAATCATTGGGCTAACTGGTCCCAAACGTCCCCAGTGGCCCAAGTTCCCTGAAGGGGCTGTTGGTACCAGGGTCCAGGCTGCAAGGGGCGGCTGGAGGGCTTGGAGCTCAGATGTACCTGTGAGTCCTCGCAGGCTGGGACTTCGGGCTGGGGGCCATTTCTGAAGAACGGCCTCAGGGCATTCCCAGCCAGCTGCCCAAGAGCCACAAATTAGATGTATCCCCCTGCGCCCAAACTAGATACGGATCACACAGCCATCTGCGGATTAACCTGGGAGTCTAGCTACTGAGTGTAAGACTTCTTCCGTGGGAACGTGACTGGGGTGGAGGCAGGCATCCAGGCTGAGCCAGAGCGACAGTGCTGGGCTGGTGCCTGAGGTCGGGAGGCTGACACTGCCCAGTCCTTACCTTCTCTGAGGATCCCATAGGTTTTGAAGAACTGCAGTACGGGGTCATTGCTGAATTTGTCCAGGCCCAAGGCCGCAGCCTGCTGCACGTGGTGGAAATACCGTTCCTGGCTGTAGTAAATGATCCCAGCCTGTGGGGAGGAAGTCACAGCTGCAACAGCCCCAGTCCCTTCTCTGTCTCGGTTCTGACCCACTTTCTCCCCCGCTCCCTGCTCCTCCTCTGTTCCGGAAAAGGAAGAGAGAAAGGACATTCAGGCCTCATTCTGTTCTTCCCCAGCCCCAAAAGCAACTCCATGCCATTCCCTAGGAAGGAGTCTGGAGGTGTTTGTGAATTATCCACAGATTATGGGTCAACGTGATGGAGAATTCAACTGAGGCTTTGTCTCAGGAAGGGAGTAAGGGGAAAGAGAGAGGACAAATGATAAGAATGGTGACGCCACTCGTGAGAATTGCAAGTTATTGTGGGTTAATCGCCTGTTGGGAACTGTATCTAGGGCTTTCCATCCATTATCCTATGCATTATTCTCTCCATAGCCTTCACAGTTAAAGAAGCTAAAGCCCATGCAGAGTGTGGCTTCACAAAGGTCATGCAGTAAGACGGGCTGAGATGTCAAAGTGAAGTCTCACTTCCCCTAAAGGTTGTGGGTACGGGGGTTGGGGAGAGATGTGGTTGGGTTGTAAACAGCCTCGTGGGCCATTTGAAAGAGCTCAGACATCATCCTCAGGGTAATAGGAAGCAGCCAGAATGGGTTTAAGCGGGAGGAGGGATGTGTTCATA